CCCCAAAACCCCAAAACCCCAAAACCCCAAAACCCCATCTCCCTTTCTGAGTTTTGAAAATATGAATTATTAAATTAAAGTTCAAAAAGTTCATCATAAAGCTCTTTGGCTTTACTGTTATCCTCCTTCTTGTTAGCGAGTCAGGCCTGTATTATTCCAATCCTCTGGTCTACTTTGAACACCTCTACCTTGATACGATTAGTGGCTTTCTTTATTTTATCTATTTTTGCAGTGCTTCCTATCTCCTTGTTTTTCTTCTCATACTTCGCATGAGCAATTTCTAGCTTCTGAGTCAGGTCATCAAATTTGACTATAAGAAGAAGTTCATATTTAATAACCTATTAAACTGGCTGCAAAGGAACTTTCTTTTGACAAGCAGAAAGTGGCGTCCCTATTAACCAAAAATTTTTGGAACAATTAAGATAAGTGAAAGTATTCCAGAGTCAAAACTTTATGAGAAGAATACCTATGAGAACTTACCTATATTTTCGATTTCATGCTATCACGAAGAGTCGTCAGTTCTTTTAAATTCTTGGATTTGTTAGCATTTATCTTTCTCAGTTTAGCTAAAGGGGTGTTTGATAGTTCATATTTGTGAATAAACCAAATGCCTGATGGAATTCTCCCTTTCGGTTTAAAGAGTATATAACAAATTTAAGAGCTAATATGAGGAATTAGCAAGTCAATATTTGAATTAAGGGCACTTCAGGCTTTAGTAAAATGTTTTTAATCCAAAATCTTACTTACTAACATCATCTCAGTTATTTGGTGTTTATCTTATTCTCTTGTTGTGAAATGCAATATAAGTCTGAATAAAGAGAATCCACGGATTTCTGAATTGTCTTATTTAGCTTTTCTGGCATTAAAGATTTCACCAACTTTCATTGAATCAAGCAATCATTTACAGGGTAATTTTGTTCTTGATTAAGAGTGGCATAAAATTTCATTAGGTCTTTTTCAACGTGAAGCACTTCTTTCTTCCATTCTTCAGGCTTTATGCTTCAAGTAATCATGCTTTCATCTAAATCCATTAAATCTTCAGGCTCTTGTTCTGTATTATTGTTCATAATTCGATTGTCAGTCTTGAAGCCGAATGTAGTCTGAGTTATTCTTCCATTATCAATTCTCATGCTGCTATTAAAGGCTTTACTCAGTTTTGATTTTTCTTGGTGCTTATCAATATTAATAATATTTGCCTCGTCAAATTTCTCTTCTTCAATTTCGCTCTCTTCATCACTATCTTCTTGCATAATGGGAGCCTCGAATTTATAGTCTCTTCTGATTAGTTCTCGGTTTAAGAGCTCATCTACGAGAAAGCACACAGAGTCTCCAAAACCTTGAAGAAGCTGATGCTCTTCGAAGTACGAGGAGAACTTGACTCCAAATTTATTTACAATCTGCTAGAAGTCTTTTAACTGCCTCTTCCGAAGACTTATTGGTTTTGAATGGGAGATAGACTCCTATTCTTCGACTATTCTTGTTTTGGGAAAGAGACATCAGCCAATATCAGAGCTCGTAAAGATATTCACATTTGTTGAATCCTTTTTCTTCTTCATAATGGGAAAAGAATATTCTTGAAATTGGCTTCAAAGCAAACTTCCGTTCGTAATCGAGGAGCTTTAGCTTGTCCATAATATCATCCATGATTAGATATGAATCTATTTTTGGCTTCTTAGCCTCCGATGCTTTATGCATGTCTCAGATAGACACAATCTGGTCAATATCTAGCCTTTCTACAGGATTTGTTTTGATTATAGATTCTATCAATATTTTCAGCTTGTAGGAATATCTATCGGGAATTGGATCGAATACACCAGCTTTTATGCTCTGGAAAAGATCATAGAGAGACATGCTCTGGTTCTGTTTACGAAAGGGAGATTTCAGAGCTCATAGTTCATATGCTATTCATCCTAAACTCCAGACATCACTTTTAGTGTCATATCCACTGCCTTCCAATACCTCAGGACTCATATACAATGGTGTACCAACTCTTGAATAGGCTTCAAGAGTTTGTGAACTCATTGCTCTTCCTAGCCCCAGGTCTCCTAATTTGAGCATTCCTTCAGAATCAATGAAAATATTTGCTGGCTTTAGATCTCTATGCATGATTCTCTTTGAATGCATATGTGCCAGTGCTTCTGCCATCTGGGAAATATATTGCCACACTTTGCTCTCATCAAGGTGAGAGTCTTCTTGAATTGCTCGTTTTACTATATACTTGAGGTCTCCTTTCTCAGCCCATTCTACAGCAATGTAGAGATCATTGTTCTCGATAAAGGAGTCTAAGTATTGAATAATGTTGGGATGGTCTAGAGATTGTAGTAATTTGACTTCTTTTAATCACTTTTCTCTTTGTTTTACATCGGTCATATCGAATATTTTAATACATTTAAGAGCAACTCATTCTCCAGTTTCAGTGTTCTCAGCTTTATAGACAATGGAAAATTTTCCTTGACCAATAGGCTTCATTATTTTGTAACCCCTGATTTCAGCTATGAATGAAGAATTAAGAACTAATAACTATATCCTTAGATGTCCTCTGAATTATATGTTGACAATTGTATGAAGGGAATTAAATCGTGAAAGATGTTTATAGCAAAAAGTAGTTAAAATACATATCGTACTATTTTCCTTTTCAGGTTTTACTCCTGCGTTAGACATTTCAGCTCGATTTCGATTATAAAAATTATAATTTGAATTTTACCTTCTTGAATTTGGGGTTTTGGGGTTTTGGGGTTTTGGGGTTTTGGGGTTTTGGGG